GGATCATTTTGGTGTATTCCCCTGCCACAGTATCATTACATTTGTCCATGTCCATAAAGGTTTCAGCCATAGCCAGGTGTAGTGTGCGCGCACGGCTCGATTAGCAGCAGACTTAGCCCGCACACAGCCAGCATATCCATTCAAAACAAGGAACTGCTTTACCTTGTTATCCAGTCCGTTGACTTCACATGTACTTATCCAAATCCGACATCCTGCCTGCTCAGCTCAAACCTCAACCCTCAGCCTGCAGTCTGCCTCTGAACCCAAACCTGGAGATCTACAAATCCCAGCCAAGTCAAGCCTCCTCCAAGGCCTCAGCCTGCCGCCAGCCTCAGAACCCTCCTAGTATTATTCCCCTCTGCTGCTCTGCTCAACTCCAGGTCAGCAACCCAGCCGTGACCAGCCCTGGACCTGATAACACCCTGACCTGCTTTGTCCTCATTTATTAATAAACCTTTGAACTCTTAAATTCGGCAAAAGTGATTGAGTCTTCGCTCTGAGACACATGAATCGTAAAAGGCTTAAAGTTTCTGGTAGCCCCTTCAGTACCATCGCTATGAGCAATCCATCCCTGAGCGTCTCACCTGCGCTCCTCAAAGCGGTGATCGCAGTCTCTGCCCTTATCACATAGGCGATTTTTGTAGTGATGTGAGTTCAGTGTACAAGTTTATCACTCTGGGCTTTCCTTTTTTCTGCTTAATATCCGCGGATGATCCTCGGTGCCGCTCGCCCGTCATCTGCCGCCTCACGCATCACCAGCGACAAGCTCTTATCCAGAAATTGGATGAGTTTGGCGTATGCCTCCACGTTCTTCTCATCATCACTGTCCTCATCTGTGCCTGGTGCGATCAGGATAGTGTCCTTCAGCCCTTGCAGTAGGAGGTGGCCCAAAAACGTAGTCTCCCACAGCTCGTATCCTTTTTCGTCTCCATCAAACACGAGCCTGCCCCAGCGACTTGGTGCTTTGTCCTTCTCTCTTTTTGACATGTTTAAATAAACTCAGGTGCACGCATGTAACGTCGCGACATTCACCTGTTACACCACTTAAAAAGTGTGTCAAATGCTCTGAGCCTATAACCTGTTAGCAGAGTCTCTTACAGCTCTCCGTGTAGCCATTTAAGACACACTCTGTCTGAAATGCTTTTTCGTGTGACCACCGTTCACTCACGGGCACACTCATTTAATTTTCACACAGGTGTAGGCCATTGATTATCTTGTCACGTGAGCATGTAAGTGTGACATCATCTTTACCATAGAAACAATTAACAATAAACAATAATGAGAGCACAGCTCAACAGATGTCACATCTATGACCACCAACGCCTGCTGGAGCTTCAGTTACCAAATGTTTTAAATAACTGCGGGTAACTGCAAAGCTAAGGAGGAATCCCCAAAGATCAGCACTACCATCAATCCTGCTCTGCAACGTCCGCTCATTGGATAACAAACCACCATCATTCTGATGGAGTCTGGTCTGCATCCAGCAATACTATTATTACTATTATACTACTAGCCTGGAGAGGCTAACGCTATTCCATGCTGATAATAAGGAACTAAGCAGTGGTGGACTATGTGTTT